TGTTTGCCGACGTTTCGGGGTTCCTTGCTGCCTCCATCATTAGGGCGATGAATCAAGCATCTGTGAAACGTCGGTAAACCTCTACACCAGACTACGCGGCGCTACAACCCAGAAGACAGCCATCCTCCCATACGAAAGACAGAAAAGCAAACAAGTTTCTTTTACTGAGGCCTCGCGGACTTTAGTGCTGCAAAAACTGGTTCTGTACAATGAATGATCAGTGCCTTGAGGACCTCTGACTACAGCAGGAGTTCTGACCATTCAAATTTTTCTAAAAGATGCTATTTTTTTTTATTTTTAAACAAGTTTACACATGGTTTTAAGCTCTGTTAACTTTTCTCCAGCGATCAGCCTCGTAAATATGGCCTCATTACTTCACTGAATTCAGTCGCGTAAGTCGTTTCGCGTCTCTGCAGACAAATTAGAAATCGATGAGCGTTTTTCATGTTTTTTAACAGGTTCATTGATAAGGGTTAGATGGACGAAGTATGTAGCACGAATAGGAGAAATGAAAATACACACACAGTATTAGATCTAATCGCAGATGGGAGAATAATATTAAAATGGATCTCAAGTAAATGATATGGAGGGGAAGGATTTAGTTCGACTACCCGCAACCTCAGTTATCGGTACGATGGCGGGATTTTGTTAACTTGAACCATGACGCCGTCCGGTCTCGAGCGTGGTTACCAGCGTTGCGCAGAAGAGTGGTCCACGCTTCAAGCCCAGAAGATCAAAAATCTGAAGGGAATTTCTGGCCACCTGGACAATTACGAGCGTCTGAAAGCACCCTGCATCAATTAGGTTAGGTTGAGGATAGACGACGCTGGCTCCTAGCAGAATTCTGCAGGCCGTCACACTATCACGTGACTGCTTTCGAGAGGGACTCCCCCTCCCCCGCCACTTCACTCGTTCCTTTTAAGCGGCTTCTGATGCTCCTGTGAGTCAGGAGATTAGTTCTTGTAGAGGTTTTCGAGAGAGGAGTTGGGGTGAGGGTGGGACTGCATCCTAGCAGGTGGCTGCAGGCTCCTTGTACTGGGGAGGAAGAGGATCGATTCGCGGAGTACGGAGAGGATTCGGTCATCACGTGAATACTCCGGTGCAGTGAGACTCCGGTTGTCGCTTCTCAGATCGTCCGGGCGCTTCGCGACGTAACTTAAGCAGTCTCGAAGACACAAACTACGCGTTGACCTCGGCGGACGCGGTCAACAAACAACGCACCGGTTTCTTCAGATCAGGAAACGCGAGACGGGCAATTGGAACCTTCAGGCCACGGCAGAACTTCGATTTGTCACGTAGGCAGTCCCCCCCCTCCCCTCCCCCCGCGCTCTGCGTCTTTTATTTACTTTGTGCTCCATTCTTAAAGTCCACAAATCCGGAAGCAATATTTTACACCTCGTTACATCACGACCTTGACAACTGCTGTATCTCCCAAAGAACTCGGTTTATTTAGTGCGACTATAAAAGGCATTCAGCTGTGAGAGCAACAACGATACATGACGCTCTTTCAGGATGAGACCTCTGAACGCTGAAGCATCGCGTTTGGGAGGTCCCGGGTTCAAATCTGGGCCCAGAGACAGGCAGTCCTGGCTAAGATCTTCCGTGACTCTTCTCAGTTCGTCCAGGCAGATGTTGGGATAGTACCTGAAAGCAGGCCACGACTGCTTCCTTCCTTGTCCCTTGCAAGTCATCCTGTCACAGAGTCTGAGCGGCTGCCGGCGTCGTTAAACAAGCAACAGGCTGTGTTCTGAGACTCGTTATCGCAGCTGTACACAGGATGCGTTTAGAAGCAGCTCCGTGCCATCATCAATCAGACGTCCTTTGTCAGAGACGCACAATGCGTCTGGACCATTTCCCACCGCAGCGGCAAGTGCATCATTGCGTCTGCGCTGAGGCAAGGTGCGATCGCAGGAGACACAATGCAAGACCGGAAGCCGAACACGTCACTTCCTGGCCTTCGGAACATTCTAAAGACGCAAGAAAGCCAGTCACGCATTCTGTGTTGACCGCGTGGAATTTTATGGGCGTTTTATTTATGAGCGAGCGTGGGACGACGACAAGTGTTGGAGGCGCTGATCGGGTGAGACGAAGCGGTGGAGCCTCGCTGTTGAGGACCGAGGACCCACAATCCTTCGCAACGATTCCTTAGCAATTAGTTTTCAAAAATTTTAACCATTGATTCTCTATGAATATAAATAACAGGTTTGCATTTTCCCTCACGTTTTTGCAACGTAAATTCCTTTAATTCTGAAACGTATTATACAGCGGCCAGCTGAGAAGAGTAGTTATAGGACGTCCCAAAAAAGACGTTTACACACAACCATTACATAAGTCAGCAGTGTGTAAACATTTCTGGGACACTCTGTATAGTCCTACAAATTCGAAAAAAAATCTTAGCAGCGTTACCATGGCAACTCTTACATTCCCATACACACCAGCATGGCGGAC